TAAAAAATACCACTATTTTAACTTTTAAATAATGGAATACACCTTTTTCATTCATAGATAAGGTCTAGTTTGTAAAATTTAAAATTTAGGTGTTAAACAAATAAATACATAAGAATTAAGTGGCATGTGTGCAAATCTTTCTTTTTTCTTTCCTTGCTCATCATGGAGACTATAATTGACAATTTATTTGGTTTTCTCCTTTTGCAAAATACGGATGCCTGTTTATGTTTGTGGTGGTTTGAACAGCAATTCTCCCTTCTGATCTTCTTTTTTTTATGAACTTATGGAGAATTGGATCTCAATATAAAGGAAAACACCTAAACTTCACTCCATAGGCAATTATATTCTTCATGATGAACTCCACTGGCAAGATGAAGCAATCCAAGTGGTTTAATGTGGAGTGAATAGCGTCGTGGGGACACAGAAGGGCGTGGTATGCTTGTTTAATTGTGATTTTCAGTATGGTATGAGCGCAATATTAAGAGTTTAGGTGTTAAATAGGAGCGAAATATTAAAAGTTCAGATGTTAAATAGGAAAAAACGGAAGTTTTATGTGGCATGTACGTAAATCCCCCTAAAAATATATTAAACCAATCATTTGACCTCCTATTTTTATGTTTAAGTAAATATTCAATACTTCAATGTTATAGAAATGACTTTATTTGAATAATATAAGTAAAACTTTGCAGCAGTGTTTAATAATGCTTGCTATAAAAATGAGTTAATATAGTTGAATGAAAGATGTCAAATACTTGGGAACACTTGACATGGTCAAAGTTAAGAATGAGTTCTCGAGGAAGAAATTCCCATGGCAAATTCGCTAGCGTGCTCTCTTAGTAAATTCATTCTAAGTGGGCGAGTAGCTTACATTGATTTGACTACTTATTGAAGTTCTTCTTTTGAGACAACTTTGATTTTGGACAATTTTAATCTACTCGGGGTATGCAGGATAGAAAGTTGAAAAGAGTGTGTTTTGGTGACTTGTAGGTTTTGGAAAATTAATTAAAGCATTAGAAATTTACTGAACTCAATTCATGTTGGTAATATAACATAATTTACTTGGCCAAAACAGCTATACGTGTAAAATAAAGACCAGGAGGTTACAACAAATTTGCAGTAAAACCCATATATAAAAGTACATATGCCATTAAGAACACATTCGGTTAAGTGCTTGTGTGATAGAGGAGATGATGCTTACATAAAGTCTATCTCGCTAATTTGGACACCTCTACGTAACCTAGAAACAAATTATATTTGCCTTAATAAGTAGATGCCAATTTAAAGAATGAAAAATTCAATTTATATATTTGACTGTAAAGTTACTCCATTATGAGTCATTCAATCCAAACTCTAGTAAAAAGAAAATTTAGTGAATATATACAACTTTGAATAAATTATAGAATTAACGATAAAAAATATTGTACGATTATCAACATATGCTACTAAAACTGAAAAAAAAATGTAGTCATATGAGCAATAGGCTAGGAAACAAAAGATTAAAGTATGCAATATCTAACCAAAAACTACCAATAAGCATTCAATGTCGATATCCATTTAAACTAAGAAAACGTAATGGTGAACTGCACACAATGATGATAAGAAAGAGTATTCCCTTGCTCTAAGTACTAAAGGGTAGAGCAAAAATATTCATTTAGTACTGGCCCCTTCTCAATTAGTAAGCCGTGATTGCGCTCTTTAACAATAAATAATCAACATTTTTAAACAACATAATTAAAAACTTTTTTAATTTAATGTGTGAGATGGATCATGAAGGCAATCTATAAGAATAATTCTGGTTTTGTGTTGTTTGAAATCACATGACATAGCAGATTTGTGCAAACCATCCCACTCCTCCAACTTAGTCCTTTAATATGACAAATTAATATAACAAGAAAGATCCGCTGCATCCTGAGAGAAACTGACATCATTTCAATCTGATGAAGTCATGAGATTGAGTGTTCACATAATAGTATTCCTTATTAACCTATTTATCTCCCCTTTTCAGAGTATAAAAGTTTATATGAGGAGTGCAGCAAGCACAAACTGAATCGAAAAAAACAAATGAAAAACTCGTAAAAATGAACCTGGAACAGCTCAATCTTTACACATTTCATGCTTCAGATGGATGGTAAAAAATCAGTTCATTGTAGTAATTCTTTCTAACAAAGGAAAAACTAGAAATGTAAACAAAAAACATTACATTACCCAAAGCATGATTAACATCTTCTCTCAAGATTTATTTTCCACCGCACCATTTTTGTCATGTCATCTTTCTAGTTATACATAGGCAATGCCAATAGATTTTTTTTTTCTTTTTCTTTTTTTTTTTTGGGTCTCAATGGATAGATAAAAATAAAACAATGAGAGCAGGTGATGTGGATATCCATTAAGCATACGAAGCAGGAAAAGGAATCACCTTCATGAATGGAAAAAACTTCATTTCAGCATCTACACATTTAAGTACATACATCAAGCTCTAAATATTTTTTTCCAATAATTGAAGCCAAATAAATTTTACATCACTTGTGCTCTACTCCATGGAATTCACAATAGTTTTCCCAATTTAAGCGCCATCTGTATTTTTCTGTTTCTTGTTACTGAAGGATGCGTCCTCTTTAAGGCCATCCCACATTCGCTTTCGCTTTGAACTGACAAAACTAATGTCTTTATTGGATGACTTAGATGCAGAGGTTATAGTATCAGGATTTCCATCATAATTTAGATCAAGCAATCTACAATCACTTAAAGATGCCAACAATTTGTCCGCTGGAACACCTTGAATATTTATTAGCCGATCTTTAAAATATTCCAACAAAACAAAAGCAAGAGCACGAAGCACCTTGAGATCAAACTTTTGAGTCAAACCTTCATGGCCAATATTCTTTGCACGTGTAGTAGCCAGATCTTTCAAACTAATCAGAAAATCTAGTTCATGCTCTGAGAGGGAGGCAAGCCACTCCTTCTCTTCAACCTGTGTGTTTTCTCCACATCCATTTTGGCTGACTTCTTCAGTGTTCTTTGATGGCACCATTCTTCCAAGACTGAAAAAGAAATCAGGACCTTTAAGCATATTTTGAGCAGGATTTCAACAAAAGTGACGTAAATCTTGCTAAAATTTAAATCCTACATAATATTAAATCAAGTTTCTCCCCGCTTTTACCTTTAAATTTAAACTGAAAAAATAAACAGGCCTTTTAGCAGTTTTTAGAGCAGTTTGGCTGCAGGATTTCGGCAGGATTAAAGCAACATTAACGCAGATCTTGCCAAACAGCTAAAATGGCAACTCTATGGGCTATTTGGTAGTAGGATTTAAGCAAGATATACCCAAATCCTTTCAAGCAGCAAAAATGACATCTTTAAATCCTACGGGCTATTTGGTAGCCGGCTTTAATCGGGATTTACGCATGACCTAGGCTAAATCCAGCCAAAAAGCCAAAAACTCCTTCGTAAATCCTGAGCTCCCGTATATCGCAAAATGACGCCGATTCGCAATAAATCCGGCAATCCTGTAAATTGGCGGATTTAGCAAATCCGGGACGAGCAACGAGTAAGAATGCCGCAAACAGGCTTACCTTCTTCAATGGTTTCTGGTAGTAGCGGAGCGGAAGGATGAGAAAATGGGAGTTTCGGTGGTCTCTGTACGCCGCGATCCCGTCGTAGCCTTCCCGACTAGTTCTAATCGTGACTGTATCGCGAGGGTTCGTTCAAGAAGCCGATGGTTTTGGGCGAAGCCGGGAGGGGGGTGACATAAACGAGGGTTTTGGGAAGGGATATGAAGTTTGAGCGAAAGGTAGAATCTAGGCGATGATTGGGGGGAAGAGGTTTGTGGTTTTAATTTACTTTCATTAAATCTTATTAATTTTATTAATTTTATTAATTTTATTGATTAACAATTAAAAATTAATAATTAATTCATATATTTTCAAAATAATAATAGTTATGTAAATTTAAATATAGACATTTAATAGTAAATAAATCGATAAAATATATATTAACTTTTTATAGTTTAATAAAATGCTAACTAATTATTAATTTATATAGTTAATAATTAATTAAATAATATGTGATTAATGTTATATTATTGTTTAATAAGTAATTAGTTAGTCAAAAAAATTATTAGCAATTAACTTTTATAATCAATTATTAATTAATATTAGTGCCCCTTATTTATGCACTTTGCTATCTTGGATATTGAATTGTGCTTTTATATTTAATCTCTTAGTAAGATAAATTCATTTTTTTTTTATGTTAATGCTTTGGATTTTATTTATCTCTAAATGTTCACTCAGATGAATCCTATTAAAGGCCTTCTAATTTTGTCGAATAGTATTGGGGTTTACTACTAACATACGAAATAATTTTCAAAATTTAGCGTACTTAAGAATTGATAAATCCAGATTTACGCGTTTTATTAAATCCTACTTGCAACCAAACATGTTCTTAAATCTCATGTTCCCTCTTTTTTGCCTTAAATTCAGGATTTTGTAAATCCCTTTAGAATATGGATTTATAGGATTTGGATGAGGGTTACTTGTCTCAATGGTTTGGGTAGGAATAGAGAGAAAGAAGGGGATAGAGGTGAGCTTCACAAATCACTGTACCCCCTCGATCCTGTTATTATTTTCCCAGCTAGCTATAACCATAATTGAATCATGAGGGTTCAGTCATGTAGGTGATGCTTCTAGGCGAAACCGGAAGAGGCGGAGAGGGACGTAAGCTAAGGTTTCAGGAAGAAGATGAGAAGGGAGAGGAATGACAAGATAAGTTTTTAGGGGGTATTATGTAATAAATACCAAAAACCCCTAAACTTGAAACCTATATTTGCTTAAATTAGCCACTTCATTATCACCATTAACCCCATCTTCGGCCATTAACTTTTTTTCCCAGCCATCACTCATCATTAACTTGCTCATTATCATGCATAAATCTCACATATTTCTTTGACTATCGCAACATCCACCCAACTTATTCACTCGTCTCCAATGTTAGATTGTGCGTAGTTGTAGTGATGCAACAACCTTGACTCATTTCCAACATTTTGTCATCTCAACATCACAACAAACATTTAGGGCACCTTGTTCATCTCTGATGTATGGAAAAGTTAGCTATTATTGTTGATTGAATTTATACAAGTTCATGTATGAGGTTACACTTTAAGAAAGGTATTTTTGCGTTTTATCTTGCATATACAACAGATAATTGAAGTGGGGAAACCAGGCGAGGACTTGGAGCTGAATAATGTAAAGTGGCATTGGCGCCTAGGCGCCAGTCCCTACCTTATCGTCCTGACAGGTTAGAACTTAGGTTCCAAATAGTGGCCTTTTAGGTGCCGCGGCACTGGCCCCTATGTGTCATACCCTTGGTTGCTTAGGCGCCCATTCATTCTTCAGCAAAAGGAGAGTTTGGCGCCTAGGCGCTAGAAACTGATTTGGGTAGTTGTTGCAATTCAAATAACTAGACGTGAGGGATCGTGTGCGAAAGGAAGGGAGTAGTGAGTGTTAAGTATTGGAGTCTATAAATAATCATGTATTGCAGGACAAAGGGGGATTGATTTTGGTTATTTACTTAGGGTTTTTCTTGCTTTGAAGAACCATAGTTCTTCTTCTAAGTGCTGAGGGAGTGGTGTTCTTCCAGACAGGAGTTATGGAATCAAGAGTGCTAATTGAAGTATTCTTTGGTCATTGTAAAGAAGAAATAACTAAATATTTATGTGTGCTTGTTTGTATATTTTTGTTGTAACTAAGTATTTGTGGATTTTTCATTTATTCAATGCAATTGTTTGGTGATTTCAGTATGCTTCTTGGGTAAATCTTTAACTCTTCCTTTTGATGATTAAGTAAGATGATCGAAATGTGAATTACTTAATAATTTATCTTATTTTAAATGGTGATGTTTAACCTTAAAATCTTAATTTACATTTCATTCTAACCAAGTGAATTATTAAAACTTGTTGTGAATCATAAGCCTCAGGAAAGTCTATGGTATAATCAACTAGGTTAATCACATTAAACTATGGGGTATATGTTGATATGCCTTGTGGGGTGGTGCAAATGTTACAAAAATATGCCTTAAAGGGATAGCTATGGGATTTAAGGAATTAAAGACATTTCTTTCCAAGCTTCCTTATGTACTCAGAAGAGGATAAAGAAGATTGTTGCTCTGATTTGTCACTAGTCTTTTAGTACTTAGAACTTTACATTCCATAGAATTCACTTAACTCATTACAAGGGAGGACCTCTTGAGTATTTGATATCTTTACAATCCAAATTTTGATAAGTAGGATTACTTGTGTAGGATTTAACTTACATTTTCTATGACACATTAGGGTAACTTTATAAAACTTTTAACAACATCCACTTTTTAGGCTAGAATTTTTCCTTATTTGAATGACCTTATTCTTTGTGGGATCAATATTTTAGACTCTACAATCTGATATTATTGATATGATATATGCACTTGTGTGAGCCCCTCTTGTGTGGTTACATCTGGAAGTAGTATTAAGTTTTTGATGTCTTTATGGGGGAACAACAGTGATTTGACTTAGAAAAACTTAAACTGAGCATTGAGTTCTTAGACATAAAATCTATAGTGGTAATTGTTTATTTTCAATTATTTTAATTTTTTTGAGAAATCACGAGAAACCAAAAATATTTTTGTTTTATTGTGTGTGAACTCTTAGGATTAGAGATTTCTAGTTAGTATATGCTTAGTTCAGGAACTATACGACTTAAACCTTGCGATTCTAAGCTAGATAGAACTATTAGAAAATTTTAGAAATAAAAGAATCTTCAAGTACTCATAGGAGAGATGGCAAACAATCCACAAAACAAGTTAAAGATTTAGGAACCAACTCATGAACATCTAAATGCACATAGACCTTTAAAAGTCTATGCTAACCTTTCGGCAGATGAAATTCATTTGAGCACCCTATGGTAAAAGCTAACACATTCAAATTGAAGCTTGTTATCATGCAAATGGTGCAAAAAAATCAATTTGGGGAACCCCATTGATGCACCCATGGTGTGTGCTATTTTTCTGAGTGTTTTATGTCAATTTGAATCCCCAATAACAGTGCCAAAAACTTGACCCGTCCCAAAATTTACGCAGTAATTTTGCTTTCAAAAATATGGCTAAAGTCTTGACCCAATTTATATAAGTAGTTAATGTGCAAAATCAAAATGTTTATAAAATATAAAAAATAGTTCACACACTAGTGGTTCTACGCAAGTGCATGTATCGCTTCAAGTATTAGAGAAGCACATTAAGAAATCCCTTAGGCTAATCCTAGTCTACTGATACGCCTAAAAAATGTTCAATTTTTCATATGTTTTTAATGTCTATATTTGGTAATTTTCAATGATATTACACTTAAAGGAAGGTATTTCGTATATTTTGGTTTCATGGACAAGAAATGAAATTTTGGAGAAAGAAGCAAAAATGGTGCAATTTGGAGCAAAAACGAGCAAGAAAGATAATTTTGTCCTGACATATTTTGATATGTCTTTCTATGATTAATCTCATTTACACTTTCACACATTTTTGAATGAAATTAAACTTTAAAAAAAGGTTTTTTATACTTATTTTGTAGGTCTATCTGTTAG